CAAAGGATTTTTCTCCCCATGGAACACCCCCTATCAGTGGGTGGCTAGGGTTGCCCACCTGTGTGGAAGTAGGGGCTGACTGCTCCACAGGGGAATCCCAGGGGCAGTGGAGGGGGCAGTGTGGACTCTGATCGAGGCCCCTTTCCTTCTGCTCTGGTCCCTCCTGTTGGGACTTGGCTGGGAGTAGAGGCCCCTTCCCTGGCAGCTGCTATCTCAGGGTCCTCTCCATCTGAGTCCTTGGATGGCTCCTCAGAGACATCTTGAGCCCAGAGGCCAGCCCCTGTTGTCTCCTTAGGTTCGCTGGGCTGGGCTGAGGCAGCACCAAGACTCCCCTTTTGGGACCGGCTTCGGGCAGATTCCTTGGCTGGGATAGGGGGTCCTGGGCCTGGGGGTCCCTGGGGTGGCAGGGCCAGTAGTGGTGCTGAGCTGTGTTTCAAAACCAGCATGGAGCCACGTCGCTGGAGTTCGTCAGGACCCTCAGGGAGATGCAAGGCCACCTCTGACGCCAGTAGCTGTGGCCGGTGAGCACTGCCCAGTTCTTTCTGCCTAAGCAACTCAGACATCTCCAGCCTGGACCAAAAGGACAGATGGTGGGAGTCAGCCTGGGCGTACTTAAAAGTACTCCCACTGGTCTTCCAGGTGCTTACCGAGCCAAGCTCTGCTTCCGTAGAAGCTCCTGCTGCCGAGCTAGCATCTCAGCCTGGGCAGAGGGTAGGAAGCTGTAACCTGGAATAGAAGAAAAAGGCTGTTGAAGCTGGATGCTCTGCACTACCTTTATCTACCTTCTGCACCTAGAGAGAGCCTTATAGGGATACAAAGGGCTTACATACCCAGCTTTCTCACCTGGGGTCTGACACAGAGCTGTGGGCATCCCCAAAAAAGGAGGCCGGAGATGGGAGCCCATTGTGATGTGGGGGGCGTTCTGGGGTGACAGCAAAGGGGGTGGCTGTGACAGCTCCCTGTGGACGGCAGAATAGTGAGCATATGCCTGGTTCCATCTGTACACACCCCCTCTTTCCTGTGATTGCCTCTGGGTACACCCCTGCTGACCCTTCTAATTGCTGACCCCTTGCGTGGTTGTTGATTTGCTGGTTATGGCTTCGGCTTGTACACAAACACACACGCCCGTCCAAGCAGGCAGCGCCAATTCATCTCCCTGTCAGCACAGAGGCGATGACCCTGTGGGCCACATTGCATCGGTAATTACTGGTGTGAGGGATTCCTGTCATCCTGAGCAGTGAGGGGAGGGGCACAGGACAGGGCAATTAGCTACAATTCGTAGATGTGGCAGATGCTGCAGTCTGTGGCAGGTTGGGGATAGGGTGTGTCTGGGAAACCTGGGGCCCCTACCCAATGCTTTCCTTGGGTTAACTAGTCTGCTATGGAGACAGTTTATACTGTGAACATCTCTGATGTCTCTGTGGAGCTACAGCAGGGTTGGGGTGGAGGGGGTGTATGTCCTTAACTGAATCCTCTGGCTGGTGGGAATTCCAGACGGTAAGTGGCTTATTCCTTGCCTTAGTATACCACCACCTGTGAGGGGAGGGCCACTGCTCTCTCAGGGCACTTCTTTCTTTTTTTTTTTTTAATTAATCAATTTATTTTTTTTTCAAATTGTAATTTTTACTTATTCACACAGGGGTTATAAACACAAAAAGGCAGGACGAGGGGAAGGGGATGACACTGGAGCATGTCTTCTCTAAGTATAGAAGGGCTGTGGTGATTCTAATCTTGTGAAGGCAGGGACAGAGGCCTGACCTCCAGTAATTGAAGGGGACCTTGTAATGGCTCTGGTCCCCCTGTCGTTGTCCAATGAGGCATGAGGGCCATACCCATCCCGATGTCTTTTTCCTGGAGAGGGGATACCTTTGACATCAACCCCTATGTAGTCAGGCTTGTCCCTCAGGGAACCCAGAGAGATATTTTTAACTTTTATTTATATTCCCTTGGAGTGCTTAGCCTCGCAGCCAAAGCAAGAATTCAGATCGCCAGTTAGAGGGGCTTCTGGATGGCCCCTCTCTGCTTGGTCTAGGGGTGGAAGTCTCCTCTTTTAGGTTGGGTGGAGATGGGTTTTGGGAACACCCTCTCAGGGCACTTCTACTAGGCTGGGATAGTAGAGTTGTTCAACAAGAAAATTGTAATGGCTCTTGGCATTCCTGCCAGGGGTGGGCATTCCTGCATATTCCCCCCTCCCCCCCAAAAAATATTTTCTTGGGTCTTTGCTCAGCACAGGTGGTTTTAGGAGTTTCCCATAGTGGACCTTGAACATGGTAAATGTAGTATCCATATATGTGATAGAGGACTCAAGAGAAAGAAAGGATTGGTCTCAAGTAACAAGCACAGAATATGGGGCCTTGCTGAAACACCATCTTAGTACCTTTCAGAGAAGGATGTGGTAGCAGCTGGAACTGTTCCCTCCCGGTGCTGAACTAGGCCTTGCTTCCGTCGATGGCCTGCTGTAGATGAGGGCAGGTGTACTTCCAAGCTACTGGGACCCCTCAGTGTTGCAGTTGCCATTTCCTGCCGTACCCTTAACAGATCTGGGAAGGGAGGTGATAGCAGTGACCCAGATAAGCTCCCCTAGGATTTTCCCCCTTTCTTAGTGAGCAGGGCATTGGCCCAGTGAAGGTAAGAACAGAATGGGAGGAGGAGACTCTCACATGTCCTAAGCCCAGTTTTGTGTCACAGGCTGGAGGAGGATCAGCAGGGAAGGCAGTTTGCAATAGGACTTACAGGGTGCAGCCAGGCAAGTGAACTTGGAAAAGAATATAAATAAGCTGGTAACCAAAATGAGCTGGGGAAAAAAGGCTCCAACATACAGAGTATTGGTGCTAATTTGATTTGAACCTTCACAAGGTCAGAGGTGTAAGAGCATAGGGCTGTTGCAAGTAGGTGAGTGGGACAAGAGTCCATGGATTAGAAGGGGACCTCAAACAGAAGGCTGCCCAGGTAACTCATTTCTAGACAGGAGGCAAGAAAAGGATGGACTTGTCACCCCCATAAAGCAACTCATAGCATACATGGTTATAATAGCAGATACCATTAACTAGCAATAACACACTGTCACAGTCCAACATGGTTGTGATATGTGCCCCCTTTGCATTTAGGAAGAGAGGAGGCTCCTAGCCCCTTTAGTTCCCCTAGCTTAAGCTCTACTTTTCTATCACTTTGCTGCTGCCTGTTTATATATTAGTAACTGAAAAAGGGAGGTGGTTCTAGCTAGGGCTTGAAGCCAAACCCCAGAACCTAATAAGCCCAGTCCATCCCAGTTGTGCTCTATGCAATGGTGATTGACAACTAGCTTGCTTGGACAGTCTCCTGCACAGGCCAGCAGAGCTGGGTAAGCAATTAAAAAGAAAGATTTTTAAATTATTAACATTTAGTGAATTATTCAGGCTCTTGGTGCCTGAGCTGCCCTAGGGGACAGTGACTTCTGCAAGAATCAGAAATCCTATTCCCTTCCCCGAGTCCCCAGCCACTTCTGCCAGAAAAGACAAGATTTCCCCAGTGCTGTAGCTGCACGGGGTGTTCCTCAATTCCTAGGTAGCAAGGATAGTGCCTCAAGGCTTGCCTTCCCTCAAGCAACCTGGGGCAACTAGTAGTCACATCCCTGCTGTGACACAGGTTCCTATTTCTGCCATGCCCTCCTCCCCATATGACAACAACAAAAGCCTGTAAAGTCTTGGCAGAATATCGACATGACCACAGATTCATGGTATTGCACTGACTGCTCTGGGAGTGAAGATAACCTAGCATAGGCCAGATGTTGAACATCTCTTCAACAAAGAACAGGTGAATAAATTCTGTCCCACCCTCACCTGGGCTCTCCTCAGGGATGAACAGTAGAGGACTGAGAATAGTGAGACAGTTAGGCTGTATCACTATCTGGAAGCCCTTCTATGTATCCAATACTGGTCTTGGTGTTGACCTCCAAACATCCAGATCCTTTCTTGGGGTAAGCTTAGTACACAGTATGGAAAGGTAACAGTTGGCACATTTGGAGTGCTGGGGGTGGAAGTGGCACATACCGTGGCTGGGGATACCCAAGTGGTAGAGTCGTTGGGTTTCCTCAAAGGGACCAGCCTCATTCAGAGCTGACATGAGCTGATGGTAGTGGTCCTCAGGGGCCATTGTAGACTCCAGGTCTGGAAGCAGCAACGTCTCTGTTGGACAGAGGACAAGGGGAAAGTCAAGGCCTCCTCTCTTATGGTATCCACCCAAGGTCTGGGGAGCCCTACAAGACATGAACTCATTGCTCCCCCCCTTTCCCATGACATGCCTCCCTTTCCCAAGTTGGGCTTTCACCTTGGGGGGCCTTGTTTCGGGCCTTCTTCTCTGAAGAACAGTCACTGGTAATGTAGGGGCAGCTCAGCCTCTTGCCCAATAGGTCACCTGTAGAGGATAGAGTGAACCCCATCCAGTGCCTCATGGCTTGGAGAGGCCATCTCTGTCTTTGCTCAGTTTGGAATACCAACCACCACTATGTTCTCCTTGGCAGTTAAAACTTTGTCTAATCTGGTGTCCCAGGCTAGAGAGCACTATGACAGGTAGATGCGGAGTATAGTAAAGGCACAAAGCAATCCTGATGCTGGCCTTGGGGCATGGAAATAGAAATAATGAGAATTCCACATCAGTGTTTCACCAGACAGTCTCCTGTAAGTTCATGTGCTTCCCTAGCCTCTCCTTGGGGGAACTGAGTGGCCTGTCTTTGCCTCCTAGGATAGGGTTGGCCACTGTGCAGGTGTTGGGGAGGCTAGTCCAGAAAGCATACTTCAAAATCCCAACCTACTTCATTCTGGATCTTCACAGCCCTGCCACCAGAAGCTCAAGTTCTTCCCCAAGTAACTTTTCTGCTACACTTGTGACTCAGAAAGGAAGTCCTTGTCTCTCTCCTTGGTGGTATTTGTCTGCCTGCATATCCAGGTTCTGAGCTCGTGATGGGACTCCTAAGCAAACTCACCCCATAGTGCACAGCCTATCTGTGCTATGCTTTTATGAGGCCAGGCCCAGCCTCTGCTTACAATACCCCAGAGATCATACCCCCACATACCAAACCTCAGGCATTAATTGACCCAATTCCAGACTGGCCTAAACACTGCTGCCCAGCTTCCTCTTGAGCTCCTGCCCTGAGGTTTAGGGCCTTTGCTGAACAGCCCATACCATCATGGCTTCAAGGTAAGGTCCTGTCTCTGCCCTCCTTATCCTCACCAGCTAGGGGAGTGTGGAGGAACAATTCCATGGATTATTCAAATATCTCTATAATGCATAGTAAGGGCTGCTTCTCCATGTATGCCCACCCTCCCCCAAAGCTGGTAGTACCATCACCAGAACTGGATTCCATTTTTAAAAAATTCCTTAATCTGTCTTTTTTTTTTTTTTTTATCAGATTGGGGAAGTGTGGCAGCAAAAACGCTGATCAATCTCCACATTATGGCTGACAGAATGGTGCTAATAACTTATTGATCTCAACTACCTCACTGCTGTTTAGTCTAGCAGGCCATCTTAGCCTCTGCCCCAGAGAAAGAGACAGCACCTACTGTCTGGACAAGAGTTCCACCCATAATATCTCAAGGCAGATGGATCCAGCAGACAGATGATGGGTATCTGGCTTCACTTGGGGCCATCAATAGTGTATCAGAGACCAGTGGGCAGAAGGGGCAGCAGCTGATCTAGACAGGAAGGAGGGTCCCTTAGGTCTGTGTGTCCTGGTCGCATTCACTCTGTGCCTGTTGTCCTTGTCCCAACCCACAGATCCCCTTAAGGATTAGGCAAGGGCTCTTTTCACAGCAGTCTGTGCCCACTTAAAAAAAAATGGCTACCCCCAAAGGAGAGGGAGAGGGAGGGAGAGAGAGGGGGAGACAGAATCTTTCTATTCTTGGAGTTCGGGTAACAGTCTGGTGGAGAAGATCATGGAATCACCTCAAATAAGACTCAGTACTGTGGCAGACTTAATGAAGCCACATTCACTCCCAGAACACCAAGGTGCTGCTAACATTAGGCAGTCACTGTAACTGCCTGATGTGTAATAGGAAGATGCACAAAATTATAAAATCTGTGGCAAGCCCTATAGTTCTCTCTGGTCCAGGGAGCAGTAGTACAGTGGAGGAATGAACACCTACAAGGACTGAAAGAAAACCCTTAGGAAGTAGGGACAAGACCTTAAAAGAATGCATATGTGAAACCTGTGTACAATACACACTCCCATAGTTATGCATAGTATGAACCTCTGCATGGAGTGCAAAGGGCAGAGTAGCCAGATAGATGACTAAACATCACAAAGAAACCTGTGCGTGTGTGCGTGTGCGTGTGTGTGTGTGTGTGTACACGAGCGCGTGCGTGCACACGCACGCGGTACACAGACACCACAACAAGCATCATCATGACTATGGGAGGAAGTACACACACATATATACTTGTGCACCCAAGGAGCACATGAGCAAGTACAGGGGGAGGGCCTGTGAGCTCAGAATATCTCAATCATTACAGACTCCCTTGGCTCTACCCAATCAATGGGGCAATTAGATTTTATCAGCTGCTTGCTCAGCTGCTTCCATCAGGCTGGGCCTCCATCAGGTCCTTAACTGTTCCAGAAGCAGTCACCTACCAGCCCACAAAGCCTTTAAGCACATGGAGCTTTGATAAGGATGTCCACTCTGATGGACCACACCCACCCAGCCTTTCTAAACACTGCAGCCACTACCAGAAACATCCCATCTAGGACAGAAAGGTCCCTCAGGGCCCCTGAAACTCAGGTTTGCCCTGAAGCCTTATGGCCTGTTTTTCCCTGGAGTGCCCTGATCTCTCCAGGTTGCCTCTCTCTTTCCGAACTCCTGTGGCTTCCTCGGTAGTCCTGGGGGCCGTAATGTATACACTTTGCTCGGGTTCAGGACCCCAGGGAGGCAGAACTTGCTTTTGCTACATGAGCCGTTCTGCAGTGGGCAGTTCTGAGCCTAGGAGAGGCTTACATGATATCTGTCCTTTTGAGGAAAGGGTGGTAGATCTCAGTCACTCTAAACCCACTCTAGCAAAAGCCTAGGAGCAGCCTCTGTTGCAGCCCTGTCTGCCTGGCTGGCTGGGATTAACACAATTACCACCACATGTAGCCCCAGGGGAAAGGCAGCCTCACACCTCCCCCCTCCTCTGCTGGCCTCTGGCTGCCAGCCAAAGTGCTCAGGGCCCAGAGCTGCTGATCAGAGACTTGGGGACGACAGTAGGCTCTCTTTAGTCAGGATAGCTGTGGCACCATAGTCCCACTTCACCCTTAATATCTCACCTCCAGGTCCAAGGCCAATTTCCACGTTGCCTCTCTGGAAGTCACAGTGTCTTGGATGCTCAGGCATAACGAGGCATCGGCTTCGATGTACACTGGATATAAGGGTGGGGAGGTTGTTGTCCTGGCTGCAGCAGAGCAAGACAGGCCAAGCCATGAGCTGCCTCATGGGTTGGGAGTTTAGCACATAGTCAGCATGAAGGTGCATGACTCATGGACAGTATCCAAAGCCAGGTGCACAGCTCTGACAGAGCACATGTGACAGAGCACGTGTGAATGCCTACTAAACAGACCAAAAGGAAGCCAGGACCTGGCACTTAGACCCAATTGCAGTTCTAAGGCAGTCCCTCCAGCTATTCTTTGTAGAGAAAAGTATGCCCTGCCCTGCCTTTGAGGGCAGCCTGTAGAGAAGGTAAGCTGCCAAACATACTGCCAGTTCTGACAGCAAGAACATGGCAAGTATTTCCTAGTTCTTAGTACTTTAAAATAAGGATACTGAGGTTCTGACCAGAGCTCTTTAGCTACCAAGACTCATGCTCATTAGCAGAATGCTAGAAGGCCTAGGTGACACACCATCCATGGGTGGGTTCAAGACTTTTAGTCAGGCACTTTTGGCTTGGTATAACAGCATTTAACTCTTTTTTTTTTTTTTCCTGTGTTTCTCCTTGCTGAGCCAGCTGAATCCTCATCCACAGAGCCCCATAGAGGAGAGGATGTATAAATGGGGAATACCTTACCCTGAAGTTCTGAAAGCACACCCACATCAGTAGCGAAAGGAGAAACAGGAAACCAAAGCCAGGGCAGGAACAGTGGTGCCCAGCACTCAGCACATGCCCTCCGTGGCCCACCTGTGACAGAGCAGCCTTGGATTCTGGCAGAGTGTCTACGAAGTGACCTGGGAATCAACTCTAAACCTCATTAAATAGCTTCCAGCCCCTCCAGGGTGACTGGAGCTGGGCTAATCCAGGACTGGCATCTAAGCAGATAAGTTTCATCAGCAGATACCCCAGTGGGGCCCAGCCTGGATGCCCAGATGTGGTGTTCTCCCCACCCCAGCACTACAGGCCCAGAGGGCAGGTGGGGGTATAAGTACTTTATAGGATTAATTGGCATGAGACTCATCCCCTGCATCCTCATCAGTGTCGGGGTGTCAGAGAGAAATGCTATCTCAGCATGAGGGAGTTGTGGGCTAACTAGGCACAGGCTGCAGTAGCTTCAGAGTGGCTCTGATGGGAATTTCTTTCTGGTTAGGAGGTGAAGCAGTTTCTCCAGGGAGGGGGGCAGAAAGTCTGTTCTCTGTGAACGCAGCCTGGCCCACAGAAAAAAAGTGAGGTCTCCTACCTGGACCCGTATCTGGAAAAGCCTAGTGACATCAGAGTCACTAAGCACTGGATAACATGATTCCATGTGATACCTGGTCAAACAGGACTTGAACTTGGGGCATCCATCTCTCATTCTGCCTTGGTAGTTTGTTCTATGGGCCCAATGGTGACTCAGTTCTGAAAACCTGTTCCTATAGCTTGGTCATTCATTGAAAACGATTATGCTGATTTTATATAGCTCTGAAAAATTCCACATATATATGTCTGAAGATGCATTAATTATGCCCTTAGCATCATGGTATTGGGTTCTTGAGGCTACAATGCTCCCTCTGCATCCCACTGCACCCTACCATATGTTATATGGACTAAGCCCTGACTATCTCAGGAGGCTGAGGCATGGATGAAGAGATGATGGTCATGGAAAAGCCAGAAAGAGAAAAAGATTGGTTTATCATGCCTTCTGAGGTCTCCACCCTGTTCCTTTGGTGTTATCTTGAAATCCAGACTTGTTCCCTTATCTGTCAGTTTAGGAAACTGAGGTGCCAGAGGCTATATTTCCAAGGCTTTACAGACAGGAGGGGAAGTTAGGGCTATCTACCTGATCCAAGCAGGCAGGCAGTTTCACTGCAGGGTTTATCAGAGGTCCAAAGACAGATGGACATGTGGATCAGACACTCAGAGACAGACAGATTCATAGACAGGAGAAAGAGTAGGCAGGCCAACAAGGCAGAACAAAGTCAGGTGGAGGTAGCACAAAGCAGCTAGCTGGTCTTGGCCACCAGCAGACCTTCCTTTCTAGACACTAGATCCACCAGTAAGTAAGCTGAAGGGTGTCAGTTTCCCTTGGTCTGCTATTTTCTTCCCCTTATTTTGTTATAATTCTGGCTCTTAGGACTAAGGGCTTCTTGAGGGGTACCAGACTGCAGCTGTTGACACTGACAAACCTTTGTGGGCACATCCTCACTAAAGCCTGGTGAATGTGGGCAGGGCCATAGGAGGTAAGAACTGCTCATGTAGAAGCACAGCCACCAGCTTCTCTACTGCCCTTGCTAACAAATTTATCATATACCATGTAAAGTAAAAGGCTCATGAAATGTCATCAGTGTTCATAATGGTACATTAAGAATGATCAGTTGAGGGCTGGAGAGATGGCTCAGTGGTTAAGAGCACTGACTGCACTTCCAGAGGTCCTGAGTTCAAATCCCAGCAACCACATGGTGGCTCACAACCATCTGTAATGAGATCTGATGCCCTCTTCTGGTGTGTCTGAAGACAGCTACAGTGTATTCATATATAATAAATAAATCTTTAAAAAAAAAAAAAAAGAATGATCAGTTGAGCTTGCAACTCCAAAATGAGGTGGAAATAAGTTTAAAGATGTTTTTATGTTAATTCAACCCCAGGATGCAGGTGTTGTCAATCACACAAATAATAACACATTTGACAAGAAGCCAAGACACCTCAAATATGGTTTTGATCAGAGGAAGCTAGTCTCTTCCTGATGGACTTTTCCTGATGTATTCCTCTGGAGACCCTGGAATACGACTAGACCCTACTATGCAGAAGCTACAGCTGAGCATGCTTACAGACTTCTCCCTCAAGAACTGGGAGACTGACTGGATCTTTTCAACACTCAGCTTCCTTACCTGGTGACTTCATTTTCATCTCTTTGCTACATCCTGCATTTGCAGCCTCCACCATGCTTCCATATCATGAATCCATGTAGTCCCAAGAAAACACCTGACTTGATAGGCAGGGACTCCATACTTCCTTGGTGGAGAGCTTTCTGTGCCTTCTTTCTTGATGACAAAACCCAACATGTCCAGCATTCAAGGCCCAGATCTTTAGCCTCCACCTGGCCAGACCTGTGGCTTGTATCTTCTCCCTCCCTCTCTCCCTCCCTCCCTCCCTCTCTCCCTCCCTCCCTCTCTCCTTCCCTCTCTCCCTTTCTTCCTTCATTCCTTTGTTTTAGACAGGGTCTCTCTGTGCAGTCTTGGCTGTCCTTGAACCCACTCTGTAGCCCAGACTGTCCTCAAACTCACAGTGTTCTACCTGCATCTGCCTTCTGAGTGTACCATCACTGCCTCTTCCTCCATTCTAACACAGCTTTGCACACACCCTTTGCCCCAGTGAATTCTCATACGTCCTTCAGGATACCACTCATACACCACCATTCTCATCTCCTGGCCCATCTCTGGGAGGGATATCCAAGAATATTACAGCCTCTGTCTTTGAGCAGGTGGATATAATGTACAGTTCCATCATAGGTAGGATCCTTTTGCCCTCCTTCCAGTTTGTGCAAAAAGATATAGAAAACTTGATGGATACTCAGGTCACATTGGCTCATATTAGCTAAGATAATGAATAAGAAAGGGGACCATAGGCAGAGGAGGGAGAAAAGGCAGGCAGTGTAGAACTAATAAGCAGGCCCAAGGGGAAGCAAAGCAATAAAACTCTCTGTTGCCTGCGATGTGTGAGTAGATGTTTCACAAACTTGGACTCCTACCTGCAGGATGTTTCTCTGAAGGAAATATTCACATCCCAGTGGGTGTGGACTCTAAAAGGGGGAAACAGAGGGTCAGCAGGGCTCTAGAAATACACCTGGACAGAAGGGTGTACATGAATCTGGTTCTAGCTGCTGGACCAGTGGTTAGGGCAGTGTGCTATGCCAAGTTAAATGTGCTGCAGCTCCCACTGGCCAGGCTAGAGTCAGCTTCTGGTTTTATCAGAAATGAATGAGGACAACAGTCCTGACCTCACTTCACACTGGGCACTCAAAGTAGCCTTGGTCTTCCTCTGCATTGTACTTACTGTACTGAATCTAGTTGTTAGAACTGCTTCACCCATTGTGTGACCACAAGGAGAAACCTCAGAGCAGCCACCTGAGGCAGACTTGGAGCATCCACACCTAGGCCCTACTGCCACCAACCATAACCTGAAAAGTGACCTTTGCACAGACACAAAGTGCCTGGATGATATGTCAAGAAAGGTTTCTGCCTGAACTTGCCCCTCACAGTGTTTGCAGACCCTTGATGCCCCACCCCCTACAGTAGCCTCCTGCCCTGGCCATGGATCAAGTACCTTCTCTTCATGATATGGATATATGGATCATCCTCTTGCTTCAGGCTCAGCTGCTGCCCACAGGCTGGGCCACTTCCATCACTATCACCATCACTGGCTGAGAAACTGGGTGTTCTTTCTTTCTTTAGGGCATGTGTAGGGGGCAAAGTGACTGTTCTCTTGTCAGCCAGTCGTCCACGGTTCTGAGAAGGTGGGAAGAGGAGGTTAAGTTAGATTAGGCCATGCCCTCAGCCTCCAAGACTTGGGCCAAAGTGCAGAAGCCCCATTGCTGTAGAACAGCTCACAAGGATGGTAGTGTGGGACCCACATGCTCCCATCCAGTTCTCTGTAGCCTCAACCGGAGTGATGGCTCATCATACATGGTAAATTCCACCTTTCACATTCTAGAGGATGCCTCTTAACCCAGTTCCCTTCACGGGTTCTGGAGTCTGCTGGGATTTGTCTGCAGCATGATGCAAGGTTCTAGTTCCATTCTCTCTCTCCATTGTCAATGTTGACAAACAAAACCATCAATGAGCAGTCATTCCCACCCCCAGCCCCTGTTTCTGAGATATTGGGCATGCTAGGCAAGTGCTCTGCCTTCCAGCTACAATCAATATTCCTTTTCTTTTTCCATTTTGTTAGTGCTATACAGAGCCCACCTTAGGGACAATCTGAAGCCTATGCCTGGGACTTAGAGGAATTGGTGTCTTCCTGAACTGCTGGTCCCTTGCAAACTGCAGGCCTAGTGTTTATAGGACACGTGAAGAGGAGGCCAGACCATTTGTCCCATTTATCCTGATTGACACAGATTTTCATAAGACTTTTTTTTCTTTCCCTTGTAACCATGGTCTAAGTGTGTAGAGCTGTGGGTTCTTGTGCTGGGCCTCCGTACATAGGCATGTACTCAGGTCAGTACATGTAGCAGGTGAGCACTGTACAGAGCAGCATACTAGAGTGCTCTAGCTTCAGGCCCAGGACTTTCTCCATTCATCCTGTATCTTAAAGTCTTTCTGCTCTCAGGAGAAAGAAGGAAATCACTGGTTATTTTTTAGTATGTAGGAAGGCCTTTTCTTATTTAATAACACGCCACTGGCTCTGAGTGGTACAAATCTTAAGAATATCCGATTCTGCTGGGTGGTAGTGGTGCACGCTTTTAATCCTAGCACTTGGGAAGTAGAGGCAGGTAGATTTCTGAGTTCAAGGCCAGACTGGTCTACAGGGTGAGTTCCACAACAGCCAGGGCTACACAGAAAAACCCTGACTCAAAAAACAAAACAAAATAAAACAAAACACCCAAAACAAAACACCACCACCACCACCAACAACAACAACAAAAACATATCCAATTCCATCTCCTTTTTCAGTCTCCAAGGTCTCCTCTGACATCCTTGTCCTCATCACACTCATGAGCTCAGGAAATCTTAATCTTCCTTTAGAGGAAGGAGAAAGGAGAATCCTGTCCGTAAGTCATCCAGTACTCATTTGGGCTGCTACCATTAGTCATGTCCTCCAATACAGAGGTGCCTCTTCAGACACTGAATGGTTATCACTTCCAGATAAATGGCTTGTCTGGCTGAACAGTGTCCCACTTTGGGCTCTGGGAGTCTTTGAGTCTCTGCCTCATCTTCACTCAGGAATCTTCTAGGGCCTGCACTGGGACACTTTCCAGAGTAGGTGATATGGACCCTGTAGTACAAAGTTAGTGGTGTGAATTCTTATGGCCTGGGGATTGGTCTCAGGACAAGAGTGTTATTTCTATGGCTCTGTTTAAGATCTATCTGGTATTTGTCCTCCACTTTTCTAGGAATAGCAAAGTGAAGGTAAGGCTGCAGTGGGAGAAACCATTCCATAATTCCTGGGCTTCATCCTACAGACTCTATAAGCCATTCTATAATGGTTGGGCTTCATCCTACAGACACTATATCAGGCTTGTGTCCCAGGCATCTGTTATCCCACAGGCTTGGGAAATCATTTCTATGAACTCTTGCTTGTCTTTCAATAAGAAAAAGAAACATTTCTTTCTGCTTTCCATACAATGGGAAGAGAGACTCAAGGACCATCAGACTGCCACTTGAAAAAGAGCTAGAGCCAGTTGGTTATTGCCAGCCTCAGCCCCATGGTACACAGTTGGGCACAAGAACTTACCTACCTGCCCCCTCCATACTCTAAGGATATGAGGGGTTGATCTTGGGTGGTACTTTGGGGATGACCCATGAAAAATGGTACCAAGGATCCAGATGACCATCCTGATATTACCCAAGGACATAGCTTTCCTTATATACTGGAAATGTTAGCCAACCCTACTACTTAACAGAGCTGAAACCTTGGCTCCTAACTAAGATCTGATCCTTTTCTTTTTTCTTTTTTTTGATCTGATCCTTTTCATACAGTGCCATTGTTCAGGGACTCTGATTTATGTGCACACTGTATTCAATACTGGAATATCTGTGATACTGATATGTATGTGTGGTCCTGATTGTGTGGTAAGGGAATGAGCTGAAGTGTGAGAAAGGTGGGAAGGTTTTTCTAAGAAGGGTAGCCTCAGGTGGGATTTGTCTCCTATACATGGCAGGGATTGGGGGCCCTAGATAAGTAGTAGGCTCATTGATTTCCCACTTGAAGTGAGGGAGGGACCTGGCTACTTATTTCCCAGTCTTAGGTGGTTGCTCAACAGGCATTGGTTTATAAGTAGCATGGTTCCTCCAACCCAAACAGAAAACAGCCCTATAAGCCTAGTGAGGACCCCTCTCTTGCACCAGCTATCTGCAGAGTGCAGCAGTGGAGAGATTTGGTCCCAGCAACTGATGATGTCTGTATTCAACCTACATGTTGTGTGAATCTAGTATATGTGATAGCCTGAGGCTATCTGGTGGGGTAGGCATGCCGATCCTTTTCACCTGCTCCACACGTATGACTTTGTGGTTTCCAGCATACCCCTCAGGCCCCACGAGGAACCCATGAGGATACCCCACCACTAGACCAAATGAAACAAACTTAGGTAGTCAATTGGGTCCTACTAGGGCATCTCTGTCTCGTTCTGACCCTGCAGAAGGGATGCTGGGTAAAGCCAGGTACAGCCCTAGTTCAGCACAAAGACCCTAATTGCCTTCCCCCCAGGTTCTTTAACTGAGTCCCTCTCTTGAGGTAACCTCTTTTTCAAATGAATCCCTCAAACCCTTATTGCATGATGACATGTTGCTTGATCCCTAATCTCTCTTGTTCCTCATATCAATACGTTGTCTACCTTTGGTGAGAATCTCTAACCAGTTCCCAACTTCAACTCACTAGAACCTATACAACAAAGATTTTCCCCTGACCAGGCTATTTTCTCAGGTCTCTCAGACATTTAGGCCTATGCTGGGCAGGATTCCAACTCAGCACCCCAGAGACACAAGTTGCTCACACGCAAGCCTGGAATTACTCCAGATCACAGTCAAAGCAAGTCAGTCATGCCTCAGAATGAACACAATCCCACAATCAGCATCACTCCCAGATGTGCCAGATGATTTGGTAAACTCCAGGTCTGGGCCAAGAGAATCCCAAAAGCCTAAATTGAATGACATGATCCAGGAACAGGGCTATGAACCATTCCTATGATCTAAGTAGAAACAGTTCCAAGGGTACAGGTAGAAGAACTGAGGAGAGGTGACTCAGTGTTTAAGAATACTTGCTACTCTTGCAGAGGACCAGAGTTTTGTTTCTAAGCATCTATATGGCTCCTTAATACTGTATGTAATTCTAGTTCCAAGGCATCCGATGCCCTCTTCTGGTTTCATAGGCAGCACGCATGCCTGTGCTGTACACACACACACACACACACACACACACACACACACACACACAGGCTCATCCTGTATCAAACCTGGGAGGGGCTTCTGCACCTAGGATCCCTTGCCTTTCCAAGGAACAGTCTGGGAGAGTGGAATGTAACCCACTGCCCTATTTACTTTTCTCAGGTTTCTCTAGCATGTATGTAGAGCTGAAGTTAGGAGTCCCAGACAACATAGTCACCAATTTTGAAGCAGAAACCCAGCCCTTCTGCTCAACAAGCTCCAGCTTATCCCATATCTCACCACGGGCGAAGATATTCTACAGCCTGGACAATCGCAGATCGGGGGGTGCACTTGCAGGATCCCCTTGGACATAAGCGTCTTCAGGCTTTTCCCTGCCAGGAGACCGAGCAGAACACGTGAGGGAGAGGCCAGGTGCAGGTAGGATTAGCATCCTTTTTAGAGGTATAGTTAGTCGCAAGGCCAGACTTATCTCCTACCCCGATGGCACACAAAATTCACAATCTCTTACATCCACCATTGTTCAACCTCTCACACAATTCTCTTCCACCCTTGCGGCGGCTGCTTGGGAAATGCGGGGGCTCTGAAACTCAAATTCTGAGCGAGTGTCCCCTCCTGACCAAGGGAGTACTCCCCCCTCACCCCCAGCGCTCCAGCCTCTCCAAGCTGGTCTCAAGGTAACCCAGCTTAGTAGGGGCTAGGTGGGTTGAGCCCCGGATGAGGTAAGAGCTGTGGAGGGAATCTGGCCTCCTCCATTCTCTTCCTTGAAGGAAGAGTCAGTCCTCATGGGGGGCGTGACCCCCTAAACCGAACGCAATTTGGTCCCTAACTTTTTGGCTCCAGCCCCAGCACTTACTGCATCTAGCTCAGGAGCCTCCACATCGCACCTTTGGACCTACAGTCCAACAGGCTGTGACTGGCAGTACTGCCAATGTAGTTAGGTTCCGCTGCCCCCCACCTGCCCACACAGCCTCCAGTAGCGCGCACTCCACTAGCGCACCCTTGTCGCAAGTGCGCCCCACCACTACTGCCAGGAACCGCTGGCTCAGTGCCAGTAGAGAAGAGGCGTCCCTCCCACCGCCTCTAGCGAATTCCGGTAAACTTCCCCTGCCTTCAGGCCTCGCGGACCTTCCGAGCTAGGGATCTGCTGTGGATAACCCGGAACCCCAGCGCGCTGTCGCTTGTGCTGAAGGGATCGCAGAGGCTGAGACCTCTGCTGTGTCCACTAAGTCGCCCGTGCGTGGCTGGGTGGACAGGTGGGGCGGGAGGGGGGGTAGGAGGTAGGAGGGAGAAGGTTATCCCCCGCGCTAGCCCCATTACTGCAGCGTCTCCTCTGGGCTAACGCTAGGTGTCCCAGGTGTCGGAATGAGGAACCTGGGAAACCCAGGTACCGCGGCCGCACCTTTGTGGCGGATGCTGCGCTTCCAGTCCTTGGCCGTCTCGCGGCCGCTGACGAATTGGAACTCGTTGGGTGTGAGCCACTCGCCTCTGTGGCGGATAGACGGGCCTTTGCTGCCCTGGCAGAGTTTGCGTACGTAGAGCAGCGCGCGATTGTCACCGCACTCCACCTCGATACACGGCTCACCATTGTCTATCAGCGGCTGGAAATCCGGGGCCGCGGCTGCGGTGGCTGAGTACTGGAAGGCCAGCGGGTCTCTGGGCAAGTAGAGATGAGGTGCGGCCTCATGCAGGTTTAGGTAAGCGCGCGGGGGGCAGAGTGAAGGAGCCAACAGTGTCTCGTAGCCGGAGGCTGAGGCGGGCAGCGAAGCGGCCGAGGGAAGGGCTGCTGCAGCAGGCAGTGGCGCCAAGTAGGCGGGCAGTGGTGTCAGCGGCAGTGTGGCCAGGGTCGGGTGGAAGGTAGCCAGGGCCAGGGCCAGGTCCTCGCGGCCCGGGAGCTCTTTTTTCACTGCTGGCATGGCATTCAGATGGAGGTTTTCTGTTGGTTGCTCAATTTATTTTGGTTGGAGTTGGGTCTTGGTCAGGGAAGCCCTGAATGGAGCCTGACTACGCACTCTCTCGGCCAGCTACTGTGCTTCAGTGCTCGCAGCTGATGCAGCCGTCGTGCTGTACGGTTGTCTAGCTGGTTAGCTTGGCTTCGACCGCCTGAGGCATGGTGCTCTTGGGACTGCTTACGAACTTGGGCTGCAGCTCCCGGGTCTTGGGTTTCTGCAGAGCATCTGAAGTCCAACTGCACTCGCGCTTAGGGCCAGTCCTTGCCTCAGAGAGGGGCTGAGCCGGGCAGTGACAAGTTGCAGACTCCAGTCGTGCTCATAGCCCAGCCGGGCATTCTAAGCCTCAGCCCCGCCTTTCCCCGCCCCAAAGCTGCCCCGGCGCACACCGCTTGACTGTAGGACTTGGAAGACCCGCCGCCGCCGCCGCCGCCGCCGCCGCCGCCGCCGTCGCCGCGGCTGCCGCCACAACTTGGCCCATTTTAACCGCCCTGGCGCGGCGATCGGGAGCGGGCTCCGGCGGGGGGTGCGTGAAGGCCGACTGGACCCTGATGGCATGGAGATCGCGGGACAGGGCTGCAGCCCCTGGCTTTCCCTCAGTGGGGTGGAGGATAGGAGACCCTAGGGTGTGGATGCTGAGTGCAAGACCCCAACTGTGAGCCTAAAGGAAAGTGGGGTAGCTTGAAGAATAGGTGAGTGGCCTTTCGCTGAAATGGAGCTGGGATGGTCCCATTTCGCCTCGAGTGTGAACTTTCCCCTCAGAGTGTCTCTATGCATCTGCGAGGTCTGTGTTTGGATTGTGGAGGGTATGAGTTTGTTTATAAGAACAGCAGTTCTCTGTCAGTTTTCTTTCACTACCCATTTCTCACGGAGTTGGTTCACTTGATCACATATTGCAGATTGTTTTTCTCATTTTGCATTTGGTTAACACACATCTGTTTAGACTTTGATGCCTACCTCCAGGGTACGAAATGAAGGAGGAGGAGGAGGCCCTAATAAAATCAGGGTGGTAGTAGGCAGTGGTGGTAGTTGGCTGAACAAGTGTGCACACCAACACATTTTTACCCCCAAGAGCCCCAAATTCAGGAAAGAGGGACCTGCCCCACATCTGTGTTCACCTTACTTAGTATCTTGAAGGAAGCAAATGAGCTGCATGACTCTTCTTTCCCATATCTGTATAGAATCAAGATAAGCATGAAGAGAAACTGAGAGATCTTGTGGCTTTGTTATTGGCTTATAAGAGAGGCATATCTGTTGATGTGTCACTCTGGGTGCACTAGAAAGTGGCCCCTTGTTTTTCCCTGCCTCCTGAAATGTACCTGGCATCCTATGACTTTGTCTTGGGGGCTGAGCTGAGATGCTTCTCTGTACAAACACCTCTTTCAAGGTAGGGCCTGGAAGAGAGGAAACAGTGCCTCCTGCCACTTCCCCTAGTGACCCATCACCCACTGGTATGTGTTAATTTTACTTTCCTCACCAACAATGGGCCTGCTTTATCCATCAGCCACTCTCAAGTTGACTTGGAGAGTGAGATCTGTACACGCTCTGTTCATATGAGGAATGTGCTAGGAGTCTAGACCGCCCTTGCACTCTTCCTAATAATGTTATTTTTCATATCTGATCCATTGATGTCTCAGATGGAAGTGGGTGGCCACTCCTTTCTTCACCAAATTTGGTTCCATTATCCTGCCTGGATCCTGGACACTAGCATGTCCCTGACATCAAGTGTGACAGACAATAAGCCTTCCTCTTCTCTCTCTCTATGGCCCTGTGTCTTGTCTAAGGTATGATGTGTCAATGTCTAAAGCATATAGCTACTGCCTGTGAGAGTCCATCACATTAATGAGTAGTTGTGGCACACATGGAGAGACTGTAAAGGCTTCTGATTAAGGCCAAGTGTTTTCACTGTCTGGACATAACCCTCAATCTTGCTGCCAAAGACATTCTCCCTGCCTATAGCTTCTCATGTTAATCTGTACCTGTGTGCAGAGGTTTGGGCTTTGAGACCTTTTGTGTGTTTGGAAAGCACAGACTTAAATCTGAAAAAGCCATTGTGGAGTGTGTGTGTGTGTGTGTGTGTGTGTGTGTGTGTAGAGGTCTGCCCAAAACACTCAGCCTAACCTCATGTCTGTCTTGTCACACCTGGGGCACTAGTACTTTTCTCTTTTTGAAAAGAAAGACCCTGGCTTAGGTTCCATGCTGGAAGACCCTTCCCTTTATCCACTGTGCCATTCCAGGACTTGACAAGGACATCTCTTTCAGCTACTTCTTTTCCAGGGATGGAGATCACTGTCCATGTATCAGGCTTTTTTTTTTTTTGAGGACATTATACTTGCTATACCTGTATCCTAGTCTGAATACCTGGGACACATCTTCTTCTGTACTCCTCAGAATAGAACAGAGGCTAGAAGGAAATAGTTTTAGTATTAGAATCATCCAGGCAGCCTATACCTACACTACAGCCCCTCCTCCACTCAGGAGGTCCCACCCACTGCCTTTGGCATGGCCTGGTCGCTGCTCCCGGGCCCCCTGTTTGGGGCCCTCTGCTTCAGGCTGAGACTAGAGTGCCACTGTAGGAGGGGGAGGAGAGTCATAAATAACCCTGGTGGCTGTGACCTGAGATATATAGGAGGGGCTTGTTCTGGTCATAGACCCCTCTGTCCCCAAAAGCCTTGTCTGTCAATTTAAGATTGCCTGTCTCTCAGAGCCCCTTTACTCATCTTCCCATCAATTATCTGTTTTCCAAGCCCAAATGTGGTACAGTCCCTTGAAAGAGGGAACTAGAGGTTCAGCTGTTAAGAAGAGGAATGTTGGAGACTATGGATGTGATCAGAGGAGGTACTGTGAATAAAATCTTAGTTCATCACCCAGGCTGTCTGCCTGCTTATGGTAATGGGGATGGACCACGCAGGTCTGGACCCTCCCGGAGTATATAGTCAGATAAGTCAGAGCTATAGGTTCACAGATATACGTCTCAGTGGACACAGAGCTATGAGGAAGCACACCTGTTCACACACATGTTTAAGCACCAGCAAATACATGCATACTCAAAGCACACAGTAAACATAGGAGAGTCTCAACCTGCGTCTACATTGCTGCTTCTAAAGCTCCTGAACTTGAATGTGCATGATGGTGCACAGTGCACAGGCATCCTCTCAAATGTCTACACAAAGCAATCAGTTTTACCACAAACAACATAGACAAATCACATGTATACCAAAACATGTACACAAAATATCAGACCTGTAGTCACTAGTACCAGATAAACTTTGTTCCACATGTTTTTCTGCCAAGACAGCATATTTGTTCTATGCATCTAGTTGATTGTGCTGTTGGACTTCCTAGGAAGGGTTAACCTTCAAGGTTAGAGGTTACTGGTAAATTAGCTGATGCTTCCTTAGACATTTTTACAAAGGGTCAGACCCTCCAGGAATGTGTCTGCTTCTGGTCCTGGTCAGTTACAGAGGAGCTTCCCTGCTGGGACATGCCTCTCCTGGGGCTTGCTATGAGCTGGCTATAGGCCATGTTATGTCTCTCAGGAGAAAAGAGATGTTTCTGAGGCTGGGTTGTCTACTGACCTTAACCTTTTTCACCCAAAGAAATGGAGATGAGCCTAAGCTCAGACTGGTACCACACATGTGGGTGTGTGGGAAGCATTGCCTTGCCGATGCACTCTAGCAGGTGCCTACAGGGGCATGCAGACCCAAATCATTATCTATGCATTGATACTCACTGCCATGTTTATGTATGCTGACACATGCAGTGTCCCCAACACAATTTCTAGATCTTGATCTAGTATCCTTAGTATCTTCTGTCCTCACTTGATCTGCATGCTCAGCCCCTCCCCTTAAGCAGGGCAGAGATACCTGTTTTTGGCTACCATAGAGATGGGATAGCCCCTGCCTTATGGCACCTTTTCCAGTGTTGTGGTAGCCCCATTGTCTACCTATTCTCTTCTTCAGATGCTTGTCCTGGTGGGATATTACATACCTTCATGTCCCAGAGTATTGTTAAGAGTTTGGTTATAGGTACCCTCTTTATCAAAGAGACATACCTGGGAAAAAAATTTTGGCATAGTCAGGATTGACATCCTTGCTATTAGTAGACACTACCTAGTTTTGTAGTCCAGGGGTGTGGTGTATGGGGTATGTATGGTGCTCTTTTCTGCATGTCCTGATAAGGCATGCAAGAATATGGCTGGGAGAAAACCAGATTGGCCTACCATCCTGTATCCCAAGTTCTAGGTGCTTGACTGAAGTCTCTTGATACCAACAAAGTTTTATCTAGCATTGGTTTCCCTGTGTACAATAAGTTTGTGTGGCAGTTTTGCTTTCTGGGGCTCTAAAAAGCAGAACTCAGGACATGGGAAAGCCAATGGAACCTCAAAATAGATAAAACCAGCCAGAGTTGCCTGGTAACAGCATTGGTTGAGTAATGTCCACTGAGCAGGAAGAAGCTGATGGTCACCTACAGGAAGGCGTACCAACTCAAGAGAGCCTGGTAGAAAGATCAAGGTGCAACATCCCAAGGGCAGCTTCCAGAATAATGAAGATC